ACCAACAAAAAAATATCTCACTTCCTTTTTTAGTCCACACGCCACGTAAGCACTTCGCATACAATTCCCTGCTCAGAAATTGGCCACGTCATCGAGAGCTTCTCGTCAGACACCTCACCCACCGTCGGTTTTCTGTCTTCCGATTCACAGCCGTAGATATTTAGAGCAGAAAAGCTTGTGGACGCCATAAATCGGAGGGGACTATTTAGTGTATAAAATATATTTATTTATTTTTAATATTAATATTAACTGGTAAACCAAACGTCTTCGTTTCATCTCAGATTTTGGGTTACCTTCCGACAACAATTTCGCCGGAGTACTCGATCGCTCGCCGGAGTATTTCTCCGATCAGGTATACTCAACTCCGTTTAAGCGCCTTAGTCCTCATGCTTTGATTTTAGGTATTTCTTTGCTTGTGGTTTTGTGATACTAGTTGATTTTCAGTTGATATGGCGTTATGTAGTACTAGTTAGTTTGTAGATTTAGACTTGTTCTTATCATTTTAATTCGAGATATCAGTCCAAAACTCGAAGTCGCTGTCGTCTATGAAGCTAATGTGGTGTTTCTGTTTACCGTCGATGGTGATACTTTGATAGTTCGATTGCATCTGATCATCGTGATTTGAGATGTTGATTTGAAGCATTTGAGATAAGTGACAGTTGATGTTTATGGTTTTCGGATTACACGATCGACATTTTTCTTGTTTGGCTGTCAGATATTAGTCGGATTACACGACTCGGGCATGGGAGTTGTGACGGTCTCGAGTTCCGCCACAGGGTCGCCGGTCGGATTGAACTCTAGGTACTTGAATCGTGTGTCTCTATCCAGAAGGCCCGTGGTAGTGGCTTTCAAATCTGATAAAAGTAAAAAAACGGCCTTAGTTGGGCCTCGAGAGCCCGTGGCCTTGCCTGTGGAAGTGAATAAAGAGAACGTGAAGAGGATAAGAAAGGCGAAGAAACGAACCGAACGGGTAAATGCTGTCACGATTGACGAAGCTCGCCCGAGCATTTTGGATTTGGATTACGGTGATGCTGCTGCCAAATTAGAGAATTTGTTCAAAATAAGTCCAATTGTCGTTCCTGATGAGGTGTTGGAAACCCAAAGGGTCAAACGGAGGCAGCAAAGAAGGAAGAGGAGCGGTGAAAATGAAGAGAAAGGGAAAAGAAGTGCAGAGAGTTATGTAAGGAGTCAGAGGAAGGGTATAAGACTGAGTCTCGAGAAGAGAATTGCTTTGAGAACGAAGAACGAAGGTGAAACTGTAGCGTATGTAGATAAGAAGAAGAAGAATAGAAAGGATGGTGAGGATGATAAGATCAACCGGCTTATCAGGGAATATTCATCCTCTACTGATATGGGCAGCTACGATTGGAAGAAGATGAAGATCCCACCTGTCCTTTCTTCGTCTGAGCACACCTGCCTGTTTAAGTTGATGCAGCCTATGAAGGTTAGTGCATTAGCCTTCAAGTAAATGATAAACTGCTGCTGTAAATAGATGGAAAATGGAAAATCTTAATATGCTTTATATATTTTCATTCAGGAAATTCTTCGAGTCAGGGACATGTTAGGAATTGATTTGAAAAGGGAGGTAAAAGATGATGAGTTGGCAGTGGCAATGAATACAGATGTTGTTCGATTGAGGAGACAACTGGAGGTCGGTCGAGCTGCCAGAAGCAAATTGATCAAGGTAAACAATATAAATTCATTTGTGTTCATTGTTTAAGTGGAAGTTGAGGATGGTAACTTATTACCTGGCTTCCTTCAAATTATGTCGATGCTTGAACTGAGGATCACATCAAATGTTTGATTCGAGTCGTTATTATTCCTTTTTGTCACAGCACAACCTTCGGCTCGTTTTATTTGTCATGAACAAATACTTTCAAGACTTCACAAACAGCCCGAGATTCGAAGACCTTTGTCAAGTCGGGGTAAAGGGTCTCATAATGGCCATTGACCGTTTTGAGCCCAAGAGAAAGTTTCGGCTGTCCACATACGGGCTCTTCTGGATCAGGCATGCAATCATCCGCTACATGACGGTCACAAGCTTTAATAAGGTCTCCTTTGGTCTCGAGTCGGTAAGCTTCTGGCTCATCGTGAAATCAGTTAGTCTGAGAATATTAATTTGAGAAACTAATGGGTTCATAACATAATGTACCTTTGAAGTATGGGCCAATTTCAAAGAGACCCAGCTAAGTAAGAAATCACATGAAACATCTTGAATATTTTTCCTTGTCTTACATTTACTCATAAACAAAACCTTATTAAAATTTAGAACCCTATTCACATTTGTAATATTACTACAGTTGGCCCCCTTCATTTTAGCACTGGATCTTTGCTGTATGGATGAAATTTTAGTTTTTGAAAGTTAATCTGTGATTATCCCAGAAAAGAAAGTGAGTACCTTTGCGCTGCATTGACCATAAACTCAACTATATTCTCATGTAGGTCAGATTACAAATCAAGAAGGCAAAGCTGGAGCTGTTGTTTGAGCTGAAGAGACAGCCGACAGATGAAGAAATCATAGCCCGAGCTGGAATTTCCCATGAAAGGTACCATGACGTAAAGAGGGCATCAATGCCTATTTACTCTCTCAACGCTCGGCATTGGGTGACTAACGAGGAGTTTATCAACGGTTTAACCGATGTAGATGGCGTCGATGGGGGTAATAGGAGGCAGCCCGCAATCCTCAGGCTTGCTCTGGATGATGTGGTAATGCTAAACCCCTTATTGTTCATATTACACTTGAACTTTCGAATTGTAGCTTAGAATGGGACCTTGTTTGACAACGCGTACATGTGTAAATGAGACAAGCAGAGCTCGAGCTTGAGATTGAGCCTTTATCGAATTTAGTGAGCTCGATTTTTTTATCAATAATAACGAGGCGAACTCGAGCCTTAAAGGGCCGAATCGTAGAAAATTATATAAGAATCCCTTTTTTGAGCCTCAACAAGTTGACCTGAACTTGACTCGCTAAATAAACGAGCTTAAGTCCCGATCATTTATCAAACGAGCCGAGCCGAGCCCTTGAAAGGCTTGTTTTGTATAACAGTTCTAGCTTCACGTATACTATGATTGTGTAAAGCGAGTTAGATATGTTTTTTCATATTTCCAAATTATAGATTTCTCCATGGTTGTCCCTTGTATAAATATTTGGATGGGCTTATCTATTAATGAATAAAAAATGAACTCCTTTTCGCAGCTCGACTCGTTGAAACCAAAGGAGAGTTTGGTGATAA